TTCCTTCGTTCCTTCGTTCCTTCGTTCCTTCGTTCCTTCGTTCCTTCGTTCCTTCGTTTGACTACACCTACCCGGTTTTTCAGATCCCGTGCGCTTCATGCTGATGAACAGTTTGACATCCATGTCCACGTCACAGTTCTCGAGACTTTTTCTCATCTCCTCGTAAATCTAATATTGCAAGCATTCAGTTCAATATTGAGAACTATCACAATCATAGATGAATTTTCAATTTCTGGTATACATTTACTATCATTGATTAGGAAAAGAAGCAAAGGAAGAAACAACAGTTTCCTTTTTATCATAAACCTTTTTTTCTTTTCCTTTCGGTTATTAAGATCCCAAACGAAAAAAACGAAAAAAACCCTTATGACCAACGTTATTGTAGGGTTTTACGATGTAACAAAACCAAGGCGCGTTAAATAAATATCTAACTCCAGTTTCGATTTCTCTTTTGCTCAGCCTTAACCTCAGTTGTACGTTAAACTATTTTGCCATTGAACCAAAACCCTTGGAATTTTGATCAACTTGTATTGTTCCATACATTTCTTATTATACAATGAGCCTTTCTAAAAGAACCGTTTGCACACTATCTACGCCAAGGCCTGAGCAAATGCGAACTCGAAATGGGAGTACTTTCATTTTTCCTTGGATCGGCCCGGATAGGCCCGGTGAGTGTGGCTCATAATACTTGTAAACTATCGACAAGTTTTGGCGCCTTTTGAATCACACACGCGTGTAAATGACGTCAACGTGTTTGATTGACGGCAGTCTATTGCAAAGTGCACGTCGCGATTTTTATCTGGGGTGGCCGCGTAGCAATGCAAATCGCGGTAATGTTCAGGTCTAAGGAAATCAACTTTGCCTTAAAACTAGAAATCCAGTAGTGAGTGATTTTTCTGTCAGATTATATTTCCATGCATACATTTATTCATCCTTTAATTTTCCATCAAGGTATCTAAACTGGGCTTCCTGTGTATAAATACCCACAATGCTAGACGTACCTCGTCGACCTTGACGCAAGTGGTGGACCCTAGATTTGTATAGATCCACATCGCATTCCGGAGATAAGCAATTCTTTCTTCCTCAAGACTTTGAAAAACCTATTTTAAAAAACGACAGAAATTTGTCACAAATTTAAAAGAATTAAAGTCCTCTCATCCTCAGTGTTGTCCGAGTACAACTTTTTAGCTTGGGAGTAATGTTTTCCAATTACAGACCACGTGTCAGTCTCTTGATTATTATTTCTTTGTTTAACTGTTGTATATAAGCAGACACATGAATATGGATACAATCCAAACAAAGAATGGGAAAATTACACTGGAATGGGAAAACTATACTTCAAGGTTTCAAGGTTTCAAGGTTTTTTTATTTCCCAGAATGAGAATTTTATACTTTACATCACTATTTTAAAAAAATTAACTGGGAGGAGCAGAAGAAAAACAACCCAAAAGGGTTAAGAGAATATTTCTGCACCTTGAAACTATATAATACTTTCAAAGAAGGGGGAAAGAGGCAAAACTATAATAGATTCAATAAACATAAAAAGTTATATACAATAAAGTGAAGTTTGAACTAAATTAAAGTAGGCAAAAGGATATATTCTTTTCTTTCTTTTCTTTCCTCTTCAAGATATTTTTTATTTATTTATTTGTTTTATTCTTTCTTTATTTATTCAGAGAAAAGAAAAAAAAAACTCAACCATTTAATAAGACCCCATCCAAAAGAATCTTCAAGTTCTTCTTTCTTTC